TCAGTCTATATCATGCTTTGAGGAATTTTTTTTTACCTCCTCCCCTTCCCCCTTCTGAGGGAAAGCAGCACTTATTTATCTTCCAAGGCCCAGCTTCCATGTGGCTTCCTTTATGAAGCCCCTGTTGACACACCTGCCACCTGCCACCAGGTAAACTTGATCGCTCCCTTTTTTGTGGCTCTACTGTACCCTGAAAGCTTCCACCTTAGTAACCATAATTTTTATTGCACTAATATGTTTATTCAGGCTAATCAGGTCACCGTATGGCTGATGACACAGGAAATGAATTCCTAAGTGCCTACCATGTGCTACACAGGGGCACACAAAGCAGCATCATTGTTCACACCCGGAATGTTATTTGCTCATGCACTGCCCATTTCCTTTAGTTTTTCTCAAATGCCATCTTTTCCAAGAAACTTTTCTAAATCATTCCCATAAGTATGAAAATCCTATCTTCCTTAAATGTAGAGGTACCTGCATTTCTATTTAACATATTTCATATTGCCTTGTGTTACAGTTATAATTATCTACTTGTATTATAGTTATAATAATTATAATTATTTACTCCTCTCCTCCCCCAGAGAACTGTGAATTTCTTGAGAGCAAAAGCAGTCTTTTATTTATTTATTTTTGTTGTTTCCCCCCACAGTGCCCAGTGCCTTGCTCTTTGGGAGCTCATTATCTAGAGGAGAAGGTCATAAAATACATATTTAAAATATAATCTTAACTTCGGGGTTGGAGACCTATACAGGGCATCATGAAAGCACTAAGAAGAAGTACTTTAACCTCTGTGATAGGGGGTTTTGTTTGACAAAAGGCGCCCTAGAGATTTTGGTGACTTAGGAGTCACCAATGTAATTATCTTAAACATCCCAATTTCAGCATAAGTCAGTTTGATGCTGAATTGATGTAGGGCCTCAGGCATAGCTGGCATGGTCTGAGAGAGGAGGAGAGAGCTGAGGTCCATGTTCCTTAGAGAAGATGGGAATTTTCTATGGATAAGGGCTTTTTCATTTTGCCATGAAGTTATGAGGGTCCTAGTTAGGGATAGGGCATCTAGCAAATTTCCAAGGTGAAGATATGGGCACTGTACTAGACTGTTTGGTTTCTTTGCAGACCAGAGAGGTACTTTGTTTTTTCTTTGAAAAAAAGATAAAGGCAAAAACAGTGTTTGAGCAAATAAAAATTACCCTTGAACTCACCTTTACCTGATGGGCTACTATGTCTGCTTTTGATAACGCCTAAATCTTTCTTCTAGGAAATGGCACACGCTACCTGTACTCACATTTAATTGGTCAAAGAAGTCTCATGGCCAAGCAATGAAGGGGCAGCAAATGATAGAGACAATGATGTCACCTCCAATGACTAATTGGAGCCCTAGTCATTTGTTTCTGAAGATAAAAGATCAAGAGAGGTCAAACAAAAAGGAGACTTATAAATGTAACTTTAAGCAGGTGAAATAAAAGATTATTCAGCTGAAAAAAGTAATTTAAAAGAAAGAATTAAATTTTTTTATCAAATAGTTTGAAACCTTCAGAAATCAAAATATATATAATGAATAAAAGTTTGCTGTCTTTCCTGACAAGACAAAAACTAGACCTAAGGAACTGAACAACCGTAGGACAAAGTGCCTTACTTGAGGCATAAGCCTCGAGAAGTGCATATTTTTAGTGTATCTGAATTGGTTTTGGCAGTCATAGAAGGTGTTTAAGGGAGCAAATAAATGGATCTGCAACAAGCACTTCCGTGATTCGGAGTCACTGATCACACCTGGAATGTTATTTGCTCACATACTGCCCATCCAAACTCTACCCATTTCCTTTAGTTTGCTTCAAATGCCATCTTTTCCAAGAAACTTCCTGAATCATTCCCATTAGTATGAAAATCCCATCTTCCTTAGATGTAGTGGTACCTGCATTTCTATTTAACCTATTAATATTGCACGTTGCCTTGTATTATAGTTAACTATTTACTCCTCTCCTCCCCCACAGAGCCGTGAAGTCTTTAAGAAGCAGTATTGTATTTTTACTTTTGGTTCTCCCATAGTGCCTAGTGCAGAGCAGTGCACATGAAGGAAGCCAATTCATTACTGTTGAAGTTCATGAATTATCGTTTGTATAGGAGCCATGTGACATGCATATGTTACCTGTACCCTTGAGGTGATCCCAGAGCACAAGGTGCACATAAGAGGAGGTCATATTTATGATGACTCTAGGGCCTAGACTCACTAATACAGTAAGAAAGCCTTGGTATGGTAGACAAGCAGTGAGAAAGAGAGGAGAGGGCTGTCTAGGTTCTGGACTCTGGGACACGACCTTAGTACTTTGGTTCCTCTGACATCTAGATTAGCTTGGCCCTTTTACATATTTCTATTTATAATCCCTCAGTATCAAATAGTAGTTATATAGGTCTTAATTTTAATAAATTGTTCTACTAATATGGTTTGGCCTTAGTTATGCAAGCATCAAAAGCAGGCGATATAAAGTTAATTTAAGGGATCAAATATAATATTAGGCTGAAAGCCTATTAAAATTATAGAGAAATGTGTGGAGGACTTATGTTCGTAATATAGAGTATGAATATTTTTAGATTCTCTGGCATTGAATTTAGATGTGCCTGTTCTATTTTGTAAACCGAAGAATTGGCCTATATCTTTGATCTGTGTTTAGATTTTTTTAGTGACAGACAATAATAACTAGAAATAGAAATTCCATCTTTGGTGGTAATATAGTGCAGGGACCTGAGAAGAGAAGGTCTTAAGGTGCTGTTAATTAGCAAAAATCTGAAGCCCACGGTCTCAAAGCAATTAAGGCTGTTAATTGAATATTTGGATGCCCAGAGGAATGGCTCATATGTGGCAGGACAGGGAACCCTAGGCTTGCATACAGGAGTTACATTCTATAAATGATCCTGAAAAATTCAGAAAGAGCAAATATGAGCCAATGTATGTTTGTCTAGTAGTCAACTGCAATTTTGAATAGTAATACATTGCTGGCTATATGCAAAATTGTCTTTTTACTGTAAAATTAAACACTAACAATTCAATCTTTCAGCCTATCTTTTGTAAATGTGGCACACTATTTATTCATAGAAAATTCGGTTTTTTTACCATGGTGATTGTCCTCTGGTTTGATAAACATGTTTATGATTCAACTGATACTTTAAATGCAGTTGGTGGTTACACATGGCTACAGTGTCACCCTTAGGCACATTTGGGGGACAGAGGAGAGTGGACACTGCTGATGAGCTCAGAGTGGCAGTGATTTTTATTATCCAAGTCTTTCACAGCCTTTGTATGGGCTTAATTAGCTGTGGCATTTGATTAGCCTGTGAACATACTTCTTAAAAGAAACTTAAAACAAATGGAAGATTAAAAAATAGTTTTCAAGGAAAGAAAAAATAAATGTCCCTTTTAGGAGACCTTCAGTGAAAAGTGGTTAATATTTTCAGTAGTGCTTATTATTTTTCATCGCTCCGGCTTTGGTGTAGGCTTCTGCCTCTGCCAGTCCCAGGCTTGCAAAGATGCAAACGAGTGTCCACTCAAGAACAGTCACAATGCAGTGAGTGAAGAATGAATTTAGTTTCTCACATTGGTTCAGTCCTCTGAACAATGTGATCGACTTTCTGGTCTCTGTGTTAATGAAAAGAGAAATTATATGAATGCTCAAAATCCACCGGTTATCCTCCAAGCTAAAGTTGGCCAGTGGTTTTCCATCTATTTGGTTAAACCTTCCAGAAGGTTGCAGAATCGAGTGAGTTGAGGGTTCCCCCCACTTCTTTACATCTCAGTGTGGTTTCTGGACAGTTTGTAATAGCTTTAGCTTTTTAAAAAGTCTATGAAGTGGCTTTTAAAAAAAGTGGAGGTGCTGAGCAGGCAGTAAAGGATATGAGCACAGAACCTAAAAATTCCCAAACCGATAATTTCCATCCTTATTTGAGGAATTATGCATTCATAAAGTTGGTGTGATTTAGGAACAGGACATTCAAACTGCAAATAGACACCTTCATATATGACCAGAGCATAGAAAAAACAAATTGTACTTAAGGTCCTAACCCGCGTTTATTGTGCACATATATCTTCTAAAAATATGGAGTTAACCTACTTAGGGGTTACTGACCAGGGCTTTTAAAAGGTGCAGGAATAGGGGGCTGAGGCCGTTAACACTAGACTGGGAAGCATGTTTAAGAGGTAACAATGCCACCTCTTTGGATCAGAAGAGTTCCTGTTTGTTATGCAATGTGTGCACTTCATTGTTTACACGATTTCACTAGGTGACTCGGAGCTGTGTACACAGCCAGGTGAGCCTGCAGCAGCGCCCCAGACTCTGAAACTAACACTGAATACCCTCTGTCTACTGCCTTCTGTTAGCCCTGCCTTTGAAATAATATCATTTTCTGAAAAAAAAAAAATTCCCTAAATCATATCTACCTCTCTGAATTACAACCCCCCCTTTTTTTTTCTTAAACGTTTTTAGGAATTAATTAGAAGTTTCTTGGAAAAATTTCCATACTCGTTTCCACTGTGCTGAACTGACGATTTAAAAAGTAGCTGCTCAGAAGACTCTAAGCAGATTTGGCTGGAGAGCCTCTTTTTCTTGTGTTACGGGGTCTCCCAGCCTTTTTTCTCCTACCCATGGCAGCCCATCTCTCTCCTCCAGGAGCCCCTTCTTTTCGGTATTTCCTGGAGTACTGATGAAAATAAATCGGGGAGCAGCCCCTGGCCTAGGCCAGGCACACAGGGGTCCCCAGGGCTGACCTTGGAAGACTTGCGGGCTTCCGGGAGGAAGGCGCGGGAGGCCCAGCAGGAGTTGCCGGCGCCAGGAAGCGCCAGGGGCGGCGGGGCGACCCCGAGGGAAGCGCGGGCGGGGATGCGCCGACTGTTTCCGTGACTTGGGACCGGTCGCCTCGTTCTAGCTGTCTGCTCCCCTGGCCCCAGCGGCCGCAGAGAGAAGGGGGCGGATCCTCGCGTGCCAGACACGCCCAGGCCGGGTTTTAAATTCGCCAGGCGCTCGCTCGCCGAACTACCGCCGTTCCCTCGCTCCGCCGGGGCCTCCGGACGCGCTCCCCGTGCGGGCCTCCGCAACACTCGGGCCGAACGCACGCCCGCTCGCACTCACACCGCGGTTCACAGCCGCACGCGCGCTCGCACCCGCACTGCCGCTCACGCGCGCTCACACTCCCCCACGCGCGCTCCGCTCCCGCTCCAGCCCCGCGCCCCGTGGAGGCGCAGGACCGCAGCCCAGAGCGCCGAGGGGCTCCGCGGCCTTCCCATGGCGGACCTGAGCTTCATCGAAGATACCGTCGCCTTCCCCGAGAAGGAGGACGATGAGGAGGAGGAGGAGGAGGGTGTGGAGTGGGGCTACGAGGAAGGTAAGCGGTCCCGGGGCGGCGTCCGTGTCTCGCCGAGCGTGGGACTCGCGTCCTGCCGCTGCCGCGCGCTCCGACGACCCGCACGTCCCCTCTTTCCCACGGGGGTCTCCGCCGCTTTTCCACTCCTCTGGCGCGTTTCGGGGCGGGAGGCGTGCTCGCCGCCTGAGTTCTCCCGCCGCCTGCGCTCGCTCCCGGGAGCCCTCCGCGGGGCTGGCGTTCGCACCTGCTGCGGTCCGGAGGGCGGGCAAGCCTCCAAGCCGTGGCTGTACCATTTGTCTTCTGAGTAGCCAAGAAGAGCAGCGGGACCTTTTACTCAACACTCGAGGAAGACCGTGTAACAATTCGTTTTTGGCTTGAAGACTTTGGGGAGAAACTGTTTCTGCCTCTGGTCTTTTCGTGAAGCCTTCTAGCAACGCTCAAGCCTTTCTAAAACACGTCCTAAATTTCAGACTCAATCACTGGGTTTGGCGAGAAGCGGTTGACTTTCTGAAAAACTTGAGATTCCTAAATGTATTCCTGAAGACCTAGGGCTCCTATTAGAGCCAACCAGTAGTGCTGTTGTTTACTACATACGTTGAAACCAATATAGAATATATACTTTAAATTATAAAAGATTTGGAAAGAGTATGTGAATATGTATGTGTGTAGGTGTGTACATATGCACACTTTAAAATACTGCACTTGCGTTTCTGATAAGGGCGTTTATTCACTAGCATGAGAGTTAGGGTTTTTAGCTGTCACTAAATATGTTGAAAAGTTACAGCTATTTCCCAAGTACTGAACATAATTGAACTAATGAGCAGAGGAAAATGTTCTGGTATTTTTTTCTAATCACTTAAAGATGACCCAGATTTCCTAGAGTCATAAATTATTATGTCTTTGTTGACAAATACAAATATAATATTTTGTTAGTCTGGGATTTTGTATGTGGCATTTGATAATATCAGATCATTCAAATAATGAATGCAAAAACACACAGATTTACCATATTTCATCTGTATAGTGATGGTATCATTACTCTCTTCATAATGTCAAGGATCATTAGTGTCTAAACTAGTTTTTACATGTTAAATTTTACTGTAGCTTATTTTTTAACCTGTTTTTAATTTATTTCATTTTGTCCTTAGGTGTGGAGTGGGGTCTGGTGTTTCCTGATGCTAATGGAGAATACCAGTCTCCTATTAACCTAAACTCGAGAGAGGCTAGGTATGACCCCTCACTGCTGGATGTCCGCCTCTCCCCAAATTATGTGGTCTGCCGAGACTGTGAAGTCACCAACGATGGACATACAATTCAGGTTATCCTGAAATCAAAATCAGGTATCTTAAAAACATGTGTATGTGCTCTTTTAAACTAGAAGTCAGCATAGAGTTATTGAAATATGATTTAACTTATATAATTTAAAAGGTATAACTGATGTATCTATTTTCAGGATACCTTTAAACTATAATATAAGGCATTTTTGGGAATTACCTTCTGAAACAATTTTGAAAGGATGAAAGTGTGAAATGATGAAGGTTATCAGTTGGTGGTTCTGCTTCTTATGATGCTACTGGAACAACCTTAGTTCGATCATCTTATACCTTGTGAAATATGAGGACAGGTACATGCAGGTGCCCTGATCCGAATTTTGTCCAAAATTGTTGAGTAGCTTAAATCACTTATCTAAATTTAAGCTTATCATAATTCTCTGCCTTGCTACTTTGTGAAACCAAAGAATAGAATTTATTGACATAATATGGCATTCCAGGTAGACTTATCAGGTGAATTTTCTCTACTGTATTAATATACTCAAAATAATTTTAACTGATAACAATAAAAACACCCTCTAAACTCAGCCAGAGATTTAAATGGTGAACAAATTTATTATTTATTTATTCATTTATTTAAGTTCCGTCCTGTGAAACCTCCCCTACCCCTTGCAAACCTATTTGAGATGGATCTGAAATGTTCTGTGGAAAAGGTGTTAAGTAATTACCAAGGAAATCAGTTTTTGGCTTTCTTGTAGGAAAGAGGAAATCAGATTTAAAAAAAAAGTACCATTAATAGCATGCATTTCATGGTGAATAATAATTATCCTTTGGGAAAAATTTAACTATGTAGAAATATTAGGACATACTTGATAAATAGAGACTATGTTCAAAAATTAATTCCAAATCGATAAAGCTGATATTTCACACTATAAAATCTTTAGCTTTATTACTAAACAAGGCAGTGATTGATTTCCAACTATGGACTTATTTTATTCATTGTAAATGTTTCTAAGCTTTAATTTAGAATCCACGAGATAGTCATAGATTCACGTAGTCTTCCTCGCTGTTCTGAGTTTAGCCAACATGTGAGCATTGCCCAGAAGAGTTTCTGGGTTTATATGTACTTAGACTCAGTTTAAGATGTAAATTTCAACTTGAATTACAATTTTTTGGGGAATGTGGGTTTAGCTCTGATGGGTCATTATGTATTATTTTTTAAAGGAGTTTGTAAAATTATTGAATACTGAGTGTTCTGGCATATAAAAAGCAATTTAAAGAAGTACACGTATGTTGATATGTTGAGATGCCTTCGAACTTCCAGAAATAAATGTTTATACATCCACACAACAAAAATACATTTCATATCAGGTGCTATGATGAGTGTTGGTTGCATACAAATGGATAAGGCAGTTTTTGAGGATTCATAGTCTATTGAAAACCCAGTTCTTTAAAGTACTGGTGTACACATGACGTGGCAAGTGTTGCAAAGGGTTGTGGGGGCAGAGAGGAATGACTGAGTACACATACTCCACTGCGTCCATGTGTGCCCACTGCTGCTCTGAGATCAGATTCACTTCATCATATTGAATTTACCATTTTCTTCCGCTACCTTCTCAAACACTCACAGTTTTCTTTCATCTTCTGCCTCACTCTAAAACAGCGACTGTGGACCAACATCTGGGCCCTCTCATCATGAAGTGTGTTTCTTCTTCATCTAGCATTTTGTGCGTTTCTTTTCCTCCTCCTTCCACTCCTGCCCTCTGAAAAACTGTCTGCATTTCTTCCAGGCCTGATTTGGGTACACATGATCCACAGCCTTTTCTTCCTACCTCCCTGGTGACCTTCCTTCTTCAGATGCCCCTTCTCATCTCTATCATTGTAATAATTTCCTCCTTATTGTTCCTTCCCTTCCAATATTTCTGCAAACTCAAGTAACCAAAATACCATGTCTTGAGTGGTTGTTTTTTCCCTTAGGATATTTGAGCTCCTCAGAGGAATAGTCTGCAAGCTCTAAATACCCTGTCATTTGTTTATTTAGATAAGGCTTTATCTTTCTGGAAATGGAATATGAACATAGTTACAATGGTTGAATAGTACTCTTTCTGTCTCTGGTTATACCCTACTCCTGCCCATCTATGGCTGCTGTTCCCTAGTGACAAGTACTTTGAAACTTTCTATCTGTTTCTCCTGTGGTCATCTCCAAGAATGTAAGGCTATAATAATGCTTTTATATTTTGACATATAAACGATATATGAACCCTCTACTACAAAAGATGAGGCCAGTTTTCCTTTTTTTTTTTTTCCTTTGAGACAGAGTCTCACCCTGTCACCCAGGCTGAAGTACCATGGTGCCATCTCAGCTCACTGCAATCTCTGCCTTCTGGGTTCAAGAAATTCTCGTGCCTCAGTCTCTTGAGTGACTGGGATTACAGGCGCCTACCACCTGGCCCAGCTGATTTTTGTATTTTTGGTAGCGGTGGGGTTTCACCATGTTGGTCAGCCTGGTCTCGAACTCCTGACCCAAGGTGATCCACCTGCCTCGGCCTCCCAAAGTGCTAGGATTACAGGCATGAGCCATAACGCCCAGCCGAGGCCAGTTTTCTTATTGCTGCCTTTCTTATGATTTCACTCTCTTATTATCGCTGTATACTTAAATTAATTTTTAAAATCTGTATAGATTTAGGGTGTACAAGTGCAGTTTTGTTACTTGGATATATTGCATAGTGGTGGAGGCTGGGCTTTTAGCGTAACTGTCATCCAAATAGTGTACATTCTATCCATCAAGTAATTTCTCATGCCTCATTCCCCTGGAGTCCACTTCATTTAAGTTCTATTTAAATTAATACTCAGCATTTTTATTACTACAACTACAACTATTGTTTCCAGCTGAGATTATATTTTGTCTCACTTATTAAACAATGTTTTGTATTTTCCTGGAGTTAATGCATTTTTTTAATTGAATTTTTTCTTTTGTTTATCTGTCGCTAATTTCATTTCCAAACTCCCTGACATATGACGGATCTTCTCTTAGGACATTCACGTGCAACAGCTTGTCCTCCTTCCCTCCCTCGTTATCCTTTCTTTTTCCCTGTGGAGGGTACTCTTCCTTTCTGCTCTCCAGGCCTCCTTACAGCCTCCTCCTGCAGCTCCTTAGACCACATGCCTGGGAAGTCTCCGTGTTTGTCTCTTGTGTTGGATTGGATTATTTCCTGGATGCCATGTCATGCTCTTTTTTGGAGTTGCTCCCTCATCTCAGAGAATTTCTTGGTTTATTCACTTCTACAGTTACTCTTCCAGGAACTTGAAAAGAGACAAGTGAGGGCTACATGCTTTGATGCCTGTGTGTCTGTAAGTGTTTTTTTATTATACTTCACACTTGATTGAAGTTAGCCTGGAGTAGCAGTCTGGATTGGAAGTATTCCTGACATTGTTTGATGTTTGACATCATGACTGTATTGCTTCCAGCTTCCATTGTTGCAGTTGGATGATCTGGTGCCCCTTCTCAACCCCCTCTATGTGTCTTTTCTCTTTTTTCCTTTCTGGAACCTTTTTCAGTGTTCTCTTGACTGCTGTTGTTTTGAAATGTTACAACCATATTCCTTGGTGAGATTGTTTCTTCACTGCGTGCTGGGCACTTGGTAGGTCTTTTTCAATCAAGATAATTGTGTCTTTCATTTACCAGAAGTTTTCTTACGTTTCTCATATTATTTTATTGATAGATTTTGTGTTTTTATTTTTCCCCCCTTTTGGTAATTCCCACTTTCTTCTCTTTCTCTTCTACTTTCTAGTAGATTTCCTCAATTTTTAATTGTTCTGTCTTTTTTTTTTTTTGAGACAGAGCTTCACTCATGCTACCCAGGCTGGAGTGCAATGGCACGATCTCGGCTCACCGCAACCTCCGCCTCCTGGGTTCAGGCAATTCTCCTGCCTCAGCCTCCTGAGTAGCTGGGATTACAGGCACGCACCACCATGCCCAGCTAATTTTTTTTGTATTTTTAGTAGAGACGGTGTTTCACCATGTTGACCAGGATGGTCTCGATCTCTTGACCTCGTGATCCACCCGCCTCGGCCTCCCAAAGTGCTGGGATTACAGGCTTGAGCCACCGCGCCTGGCCTGTCT